AGAAGCTGGATTGGAAGAAGATGAGTGTGATTTTAAAATTGGGGGAAGAAATATCAATAACCTGCACTATGGGAGATGACATTACTCTGCACCGCTAGTAATAAATGTCAAGGAGCATGTGAAAAAACAATACTAGAATTAAATAGAAAGGCGACCAAACTAATGACAACAGATAGAGCAACCAGCCTTAGAACTGATAATGAAGATATCGAAGGGTGGATAAATTCTGCCTTTTAGGATCAACTATTCACAGTAAAGGAACTAGCAGTCAACCAATACACTGAAGACCAACACTTGGTCGAGCACCATGAAGGCCTTGGGAAAGAGATTCAAAGGATCAGAATAGTGCAGGCACTACAGAGATGTCATGTGGTTGTAACAGTCTGTTGGTTGTTTCTAAGATGTTTCTAATGTATGGCAGTGTCATCCTTTTCATAGCTTGTGTTGGTTGTGCTATAATGGGTTGAGCGGTCAGGCAACTTTTGATAAAGTTGCGTGGGTATCCATTTCGTTGTGTAGGTGGTCTGTTTCCTTTTTCTGTTGCTCTGGGTTGTTGCAGTGCATTTGTGCTCATCTGAATAAGGTTCTTACACAGCTCCTCTTGAGGGAGGTTGGATTGTTAGTTTGGTAATGGAGCACTTGGTTAGGGTGGGTGGTGTTTTGATAGACTTATATTTCTAATTTGCCATCATTTCCTCTGCTGATGTGGATAAACAGGAAGGATACTGTGTGGTTGTTTTCTTCTTCCCTTGTAAATGTTATGCCTTCGAAGATGTTGTTGATTGTTTCATGTGTCTTCTCTAGTTCCTTTTTCATATTGGCGAAAGTGTTGTCTACACACTGGATCCATACTTTTGGTTGTATGTGTGGAAGTACTATAGTTTCTAGACGCTGCATTACAATCTCAGCAATGAGTCCTGATCCTCCCATGGATGTTCCTCTGATTTGTTGGTATATTTGTCCATCAAACCGAAAATAGGTACTGAGGCAGAGGTTGAGGAGGTCCATGATTCTGGGTATTTCGATCTTAGTGTATTTGGTTAGGTCGTGTTTGTTGTGTAGTACTGCTCCCATGGATTCTTTCACTAGTTCTGCGTCTATGGATGTAAAGAGTGCTGTGACATCAAAAAGTGCTGTGAGGTGATCTTGTGAAGATCCAGCTCTCTGGAGAAGGCTCTAATGCTGGGAAAGGTGGAAGGAAAGAGAAGAGGACAACCAGCAACAAGGTAGATGAATACAGTTTCAGTGGTAGTGAGTACACTGTTGGAAGACTTGAAGGACCACGTTTGGGACATGGAGAAAATTATCTATGTGGTCAGTAAAAGTTGACACTGACTTGATGGCACAGAATCATCAATCATTAATCAATCAAAGTTCAAATCCTGTATTAGAAGGCAGTAAGTGAATGTCTTTACTACTCCCCTCCTCTTAAAGCCTGCCTCCATTTCCCTCCACCCCCATGTTATTTTCCCCTGTGTTCCTGGGACGGAAACCTTCTAAACTCTGCAAAACATCTTGTCCATTTTCCAGGTGCTGCATTAAAAGAACACAAGTCCAAAGCCTGCATTTGAAGGCAGTCAGTCTAATACATAGTTTGAGAAGGGAGAAGACACCCAGAGAGATGTTAAAACATAAAGAAATGGGAGATCTTTTTCCCCACCTGGTTGATCCATTGGGGCCACACAATGGCTTCCTTACTGATGGTGAATTTGACTCCTGCAGATTCTTCTCTTGCTAAAGTCCCAAACTTCACTCTGTTGGCTGACCTATTAGGAAACAACACCCAGCTCACAATGTCAAAGTCAGCCATCAAATCTCCATTTTCATCCAAATACATTCCTTCCATGGTGTTATTGTAGACCTGGGTTTTTTTCAGGAAGAGGTGAAGCTACAGAGAGAAGATGGAACAAGGTGGAAGACATGGTATCACTTTTCTTACCTTAGTCCTGGAAATACCACATTGGAATCTCAGATGGTGTAGGATCCCTTTGAGTAGATTTGCATACAGGAGAAATGGTTTCATTCTGAATGCATTTCTTTGCCTTCAGAATTTGGGGAGCAAATGTCAATAGATGTAATCAATCTGTAGTTCCTTCTTATGTGAAGGAAAATCCCACAAGTGAGCTTGGTCTTATTTGCATGGCTGGCTTATTGATTCTGGGACCTGTTGGGCACCATTAAAATGATGCAATTAAATATAGTGGTAATGTAGGAAATATACACCAAGCATCATAAACTATATTAGCTGCAATGCATGTGGCATTTCTCAGAGAGAGATGCAAATAATGGATTCTGGAACTGCTAAATATTTTGTCAGGTTCAACACATATACATTTCACCCCTATACATGGAAAGGGAAAGGGACTACCTGCCAGGGCTGGAGCTTTTGAACTTCCAACCTGTCTTTTCTCCCCGTTATTGTCCTCTGGGATCGGGATGAATGGGCTGCATTTAAGGCATAAGCCACAGTCCGGATGGCATTGTAAGTTAAGGAGTTGTCTAGAGAGAAGATCCTCTGAATCTCCTGTTGAGGTAGAGTCTCCGAGTTCTCTTTCTCTGAACACCTTGTCCAGCCTTTCACAGACAAGGCAGGCTTTGCATATGAACAGTGAAAATGTTTAAGAGTGAGTTGCTCCATAAGAAAGTAGAAATATTTAAAATCATCATATTTAGCCCTTTTCTTTGTCTGGATAAGGAAAGAAAAAATACTTTGGGTATATCTGAAAGGGAAATCACTGTATGATAACTGCATAGTGAGGTCCCACAAAGCTGTTGTGATCCAGACTTTCCCTAGAATAGGTTTTCTGAAGGCATTAAATATATAATCTGCAAAAACTACTCCCTCTAGAAAAGATGTAAACTCTGCATAGTAAACAAATGCGTTGATTTGTCTCCACTTGTGGAAAACAGAAACCAGATATTTGAAATTCTTAATATTCAGTAATGTGGTTTGTGCAAAAACAACACAAATGCCATTCTGTGTCAGCACAGGAGTGAAGGTCCTAATGAAATGTTCTCCATTATCAGTGGCTGCAGCAAAGACCCCAGTGAATGTCCACCGAAAGTGTTGGAGCAATTTAACAATCCCCAAGTACTGGGCACCTTCTTTGGGGATGGTCCGGTAGACAAAAGGCAACTGAGTTTTATCACTCACGGATGGTGAAGTAAAAGTGTAGCTGATCTGAAAAGAAAGCAAAAGAGAACAGTGCCAAACTATAAGGTACTGAAATATTAGCATTCCAGCTCAGAGAATGGCTGGATGATTCCAACTTAACTTGCTGGACTTAATGGGATAGCAGAAATGCAGAGAATGTAAACAAGCATCTCATCCATGGAGATTATGAGGGCTAAAAATCAGAGGAAATCCAAGCCTCCTCTTATGAGAGGTGAGAGTGCATGTCAGCATGGATCGTTTGAGATCTGGCCAGGAATAAATTCTATGTTATTGTACTATAGTCACTCAGTCAGTCAAATAGTTATTAGAGGCACTGATTTCTGGTGCACAATAAGATCCTGTTCTAGCTCTTTTAGCCTTTAGGGCAGCCTGACAATTAGGGTCAACATCATGGTTGTTAGTATGAAAGAGAGGACCTTGGTTTTCAAGGAAGTTCTCTTAGTGAAACACTGGTTCTCGGCTCACTCTGCTCGGATATTGCACCTCTTCCCACCAGTCTCCTGAGTGCTCTAATGCTGGGAAAGGTGGATGGAAGGAATGAGAAGAAGTGGACGACCAGCAGAAAAGTGGATGGCCTCAGTTACAGCATCAATGAACTGATCAATCAATGCGCTGTCGGAAGACCTGAAAGATCAGGTTAGGAATAGATTGTCATGGAGAAAATCTATCGATACGGTCACTAGAAGTCTAGAACTACTTGATGTCACATCATCACTCAATCAATCAATCGGTCGATATCTTGAGTTCAGGAATGTTGATCCACAAATACCAGTATTTGTGAGACATTTCCGAGAAAAAGTCTCATCTGGGGAAAACTCTGAGCCACCCGTCCACTCGCATACCTGTGGTATTTTGTAGATGCCCAATGTGGCTGCGATCTGGATGGATATGTCAGAGTCAGCCTCTTCCAGGAGAACCAGCATGTTTTTCTTCCTTCCACAGGTGTAGTTGGGAACATTGGCCTCTCCAGTCGAAACCAGGTCCAACAGAGCATCCAAAGTCATTCTTCTGTCTCGAAAGTCGTCATGGAGGTTGTATCCCAGAGTGATGTTGGGTAAGAGGTGGGAATCTTTGTTGATCTCCTGAATGGCAAAAAGGAAGGACAGAATTTTCCAGTACATCACATCTCCTTCCCTGAAAATATATGTGCATTATGTCATCATTCTGCATTGAAGAAAAGTAATATTGCTGAATTAAGTGTCTCTGCCTAATTGGAGATCTCTGCATCTCCTTTGCTTTCACTGAATTAAAACCAGAACTGAAGCACCCCAGACAATCTGTACATCAAGGATTGTGCCCTACTCAAAAAATGCTTCCTGGCTCTTATGAGACCTCTGTCTAGCAGTTCAGGCACTGCTTGGGAAGTTTGCAATTTATTGCTGAACGTATGAATGGGTTGTGTGGGAGTGTGTCTGTATGAGAGAGAACAGAAGAGACACTGCATGAAGAATGAGGTGAACCACTCGTTCCTCTTCTTTTCCCTCAAGGGAATGGCTTTGATCTCTTCCACGTTTCTTGACGTTCCTGCCTGCTCCCTTGATTTGAATTCCCTAAGAATAATCATTGTTCCCAGGGTCCTTTGTGGGACGTGTTTTTGCATATTTGTATATGCATTTTATGAAGTGGCTGGATGCATTCTTGCCCATCTTTCCTATCGACCTTGTGTATCTATTTCACACTGTGTTTTTATCTTGCTTTGTCTGTGTTTCTCAAATGGCATTCAGACAACTTGCTAAGCTTTCTGCGGGTGAACCTTACCTCATTTTTGTGTTGCTTAGTGTATGGGATGGAGCTGGCCCCTTAAGTTAGCTTGCGTATTGCGTATTTCCTTTGTGGGACGTGTTTTTGCATATTTGTATATGCATTTTATGAAGTGGCTGGCTGCCATCTTGCCCATCTTTCCTATCGACCTTGTGTATCTATTTCACACTGTGTTTTTATCTTGCTTTGTCTGTGTTTCTCAAATGGCATTCAGACAACTTGCTAAGCTTTCTGCGGGTGAACCTTACCTCATTTTTGTGTTGCTTAGTGTATGGGATGGAGCTGGCCCCTTAAGTTAGCTTGCGTATTGCGTATTAAGTTAGCTGAGTGTATTGGATAATCCCAGGCAATGGGTTAATTGAGCAAACAGGGTGTGTGCCACACTGTGCAATTCTCTTGTCTATTTGTTTGCTGAGTTAAAAGGGGGGGGGGGGGGGGGGAAATATAACCCAGAAACTGCTGAGCTATTGAGAAGCCTGATCTCTTACG